ATTTTATTAATTAATTCTATCTTCATTCTCTAAGTAAATTTGTTCTATATATAAAAATTATATATATAATATTGAACTTGAACATGTTCATAAACTTTGAACTGAATCTGAACTAAACCAAATTTTAAGTTTAAGTTTAGTTCAGGTTCATAAATTTTAAGTTTAGTTTAGGTTCATGTTCAATGATCTGCAAAATTTGAAGTTTAGTTCAGGTTCAATAAACTTGGTTCATGAACCTAAATTGAACTGAACTGAACCTAGGAACACTATTTTTACCTCTCAATCAATATCTAATACTTCCAATACATCTACTATTGACCCTACTATATCTATTAAAAACTGTTTATTCTTAGACTATTCACTTATTAATTGTATTTACTAAATATCAAAACTATCATCTTAGGTTTTCTCCAACCTTTTTATACTTAAAATTAATTTAAAATAATTAATAATAGTGTTATATAGAAATAAAGATATAATGTCACATTAGGTGTCTTAAAATAAGTAGCACAAATGTAGTTTAGAAATCTTTAATGTAACTCTCTTATTACTTAATAAAGTTTCTATTTTGGTATAACAAAAAAAAAATATATATATATATATTCTGTATATTAATAATATGCATAAGCTAATTTTTTTCTAATTGTTATACAACTAAAGTCTAAAACATCTAAAGAATCTTGCATTAATTCAGACCAAATTTTATTTTTTTTTAAATAATTTTTTATATAAAAAAAAGTCTGTTCAATCTAATATAAAACAAAAAATTAAAAAAATTTAAAATTTTTTTTTTTTAACTTTGATGATAATGCTAGTTGGGTTTTTATTAGCCTTAATTTGATATAGTACAAATTTACAGTTACATTTTTAGGATCGATTATTACTAGTACTATATACTATCTAATTTAATACTACTGACTTCATCTGGTTACCCTTATGGCATCTAAGTGCATGTCTGCTACATGTTTGCATGCAGTTATCTTGGCAACTACTTGTGGTCATAGCATACATTAAACTGCTACACAGACAAGAATACCTACTAAACTTAATGTGGCATTCCAAATGCCAAAGGTACTGTCTTCTGTAAATTGTAACCATATGTCTTACTCATATGTTTTACCTGGTCTTGTTTCTTCTGCCTTCTAATCTAACTATATCTAGTATTACCTTGTTTCTTACATTTTCCATCTTTTTGTTATTGTATTACTCTCAAATTGGTCCTACTCGAGTATGTCTGATCCTTATGATCTTTTCATTTTTGGTTTGTCTGTTATTGATTTTCCTAAGGTGTTCTGATAATGGTCTAGGATCTGCAATGAACCTGTATCTTAAGCTAGATTTGCTACTGTCATTGGTTTTTTTAACCAATCTGTATCTCAAGCCAAATCTGCTGCTGTCGTTTTTGCAAATGCCCTAGGTCTTAACATTATACAGTAACTTGATGCTGCATTTAACCTCCAACATGGTGCTTTCTTTTATGATAAAGACTGGGACTTGTTACACTTACAAACAGAACAATTCTGATTATACCTAGAGAGTTCCTCTGACTCTAGTGATACCATACTACTATGTATTGCAAGCTCTCAGCTTATTTGACAATTCTTGCAGAACAATTCTGGTTATGTTCAAAGAGTTACACTGACCCCAGTGATGCCATACTACCTTGCAAATCTTATCTCATATTGGTTGGCTGATCTCTAGTCTTGTTCATCATAGACTTCCATATAGGTATGACCAGAACCCAATTTGGTACTTTTATATTGTACAAAAAAGTTATACACCTACCTCCAAGATCTTCCCTTCTATAATTAGATTATTCAGCTGTGCCAGAGATGCTTTCAATTTTTGGTTAGACCAATCTTTTATTACAGTCTGTCCTCATGTTCACTGCTTCTCTTACTATTCCAGTCTTGGTTACTTTTAGATTACTCTTCTAATCAAATCCTCTTCTTAAATCCCAATTAAGACTTATTTGCATAATTCATTAATTATCCTTCCAAGCAAGTACCCCACAAGTTGAATGCAGGGATGTTGGTACTGCCTATATTAAAAGGTATAAGAATGTTGGTGTTGCCCTAGCCTAAAGGACTTATATGTACAATCTTTCCATAACCATAACCTTTTGTAACAACTGCTTGTTATACATAGTGTCTTTACTTCATGATTGGGTCTTCTTCTGAGAATTTTTACTTCCATCATTATACTGCACTTGAACTTTTAACCACAAGACTTCACATTCAATTACAGGCTCCTTATTAGGTTACAGAAGCTAAAATCTTTCAATTTTGCCTCCAGCCAGACTTGAACCGTTAACCTTAACTGTAGAAGGTATGGAAGCTTAACTGCTAAGCTATGGGACCCACACTCATTAAATACAAGCATTATCTTAATAAACTATATCTTAATTGTAATAGATTTAGAGAAAACTTTGTTTATACATATATATAAGTATTATATAAGTATTTTGTATAAGATATTACTAATTTAACTAAAAAAGTTCTTATTTCTTTTATAATATTTTTTTAAAAATTTATACATATGTATTTTGTCATTAATTATTATTAATAATTTTGTATTTTATTACAGAATTATTCAAAAAAAATAAAACAAATTTAATAGTTTTATTTTATTAAATATAATAAAAATGTCAAAAACACAATTATGTTATTTTTTTTTAAGTTTTAGTATCTTATATATGCTAGGTTTATTTCAATATTGTAATTTATCTAACTGTCTTATATTTTCTTCTTTTAATATTGATTCAATTAAAATTCTAATTTGTAAACACATTTATTATAAATTTTGCTATATTAATAACAAATCCAAATGTTAATATTGTTATTCATTTTTATAAAATAGTGTTGATAAACATATTTATTCATTATTGAAAAGTTTTTGAAATTTTAAAAAAAAAGAAAAAAGAAAAAGACAATGATTCTTATAATAATGATAAAAAAAATGGATCTGTTAAATATACACCATTTGCATTAAAAAAGACAATATAAAAATTTCAGATGCAATAAAGATTATTTTTTTATAATTAATAATAAAATTAAATAATTTTGATGAATTTATTTATTTGTATAATTTTTTTATTACAATTACATCAAGTTTATATTGATATAAATAAGTAAATAAAAAAAATAACGTTTAACTAATATTTGAAATTTATATAAACGATTAATCGTTTGAGTTCGCTATTATAAAATAAAAAAATATTTAAATATAAACCGATAATCAATTGTAATTCAGCGATGTTATTGGCCGATTACCATGCATGTCCATGCATGGATCTACGTAAATTAGCCAATCACACGAATATCTGCCCATGACGCCCCGGGTGTAGATTAAAATTTTGGCCAAATTAAGCTTAATCCGGGCCAAAATTTTTAATCTTCACCCGAATGATATTTTAGACAAAAACCGTTTGCTAAATTGAGCTATAAACTAGTTTGAGACTTAATTCTTTTCTAATTTAAGTTTCGAAGCCCCAAACAAAGACCGGAATAACCACTTAAAAATTTCAATAAACGGCCTGGAACTTAAGTTCTTTTGGAACACTTAACATCCCTAGTGGAATGATACCACTACGTATTATACATTCTTTTGCTAATTAAATGGGACTAATCCTTTCACAACCAATTAAGTGTATACGTGGAAAGGAGACAATTGCAGTGGAGATTAACTGTTTAATCGTGAATAATTTTTTTATATACCGTGATATGTGACAGTTAATCTATCACCTTTCTTGACTCTATTGCTGCAATAAAATGTTTTTCTTAAATAATTCTCGTCATCATGACCAGTTTTAATATGACCTTATGACATATCGATATGTACATGTGCATTTAAATAAACTTCCTTCTGAAGGTATCACTAAACTTGTTTTGTGCATAATAAAAGGGGAGAAAAATTCCCATGATAAAGGTCAAAAGTCTTTTTACTTTCGAACTTAAATATCAAGATAAATATCAATGTTAAACTACGCTTTAGATTATATCCCATATATAATTGTAGCATTATGTCTTATATATCCGCTCAGAACTATCATATATAATAAATTTCAAACTTTTTTCACAAATAAAAAGGATATCGATATAGCTTCTGCAGGAGGATTCATTCCATTTCTTCGTATGCTTCACGCGAAACAAGGAACAATAGTCACATCTAATCTTCCTTATGAAAATACAATTTCTGTGGCAGATTCCGAAATAATGAAATCAACTTTACAAGTTGGTGATAGGCCCATCGGATTATTCAAATTTTTAGAACCACTTTTTGGAGATGATCAATTTCAGATTTATGATGCCGAAAGAGATTCGAAATTTAAAAAAGTAATCAGACCCGCTTTTGGTCATGAAGGTGATTCATTTGTTAAAAAGTGTAATTAATTTCTTGTATTTATATTTATTTGTTTTATTTTTTCAAAAAATTGTACATAGTTTTGATGGCAAAATATGAGGATATGCGAAGTGTTGGAATTGATGTGATCAAACGATTGGAAGAAAGCTTGAATTCGCAAGACAATGTTATTATCAAGTTACAAGAGCAATGTCTCGAATATTCTCTACGAGTAACCTCAAAAGCTCTTATAAGGTAATCGAATAATCTGATTACATAGAAGGTTACCTTTCATATTAACCATAAAATTTTGTTTTTATAAAATCAATTGAAAAAAAAGTTCTGACACATCTCAGGATTTTGACTTTAAGAAATTCAAGCAATCTTACGACGCTGCGTTGAGTGGCTTATTTGATAACCAATTTGGTATACTCAACGATGAGCGTGAAAAAGACTTCCAACAATCCCTAGATTCTTTTGTTACCGCGTTGGATAAACTTATTAATGATAGGAAAAATATGAACATAGAACCCACAGCTGTTAAAGACTTTCTTGATATTTTGTTAACAGAAAATGATCCAGACACTGGTCGCCCGTTTAGCGATGAAAAAGTAAGTTTAATTTTTAAAAATTTTTTTTTTCTAATAGTAAAAACAGCAATGAATAATTGTTGAAAATAGATAAGAAATCATGTGAACGGATATTTGACAGCTGGATACCATACTTCCGGTGTTGCAATTCCTTTTACCCTGCTCGCTTTAACACAAAATCCAGAAGTCAAAGCAAGACTCCAAGAGGAAATTGATGAAGTGTTACAAAATCGGTTACCAACACTCGAGGGTATGGATTACCATACCGAATTTTATAATTATAATAAAGATAATAAATTTATTAAACTACCCATAATTTATCACATACTACAAAAGATTTATCCAAGATGGATTATCTAACACAAGTGATAAAAGAAACTCTTCGAGTATATCCGGTAGCTACTTTTTGTGCCCGTTTGATAAAAACAGAAACTACATTCCCAAAGGCAGTAGAAAATTTCAAGGCGCAAGCTGACACCACAATCATATATTGTATTCCATTATATCACGAGAATCCATCATATTTTCCTAACCCAAAAAAATTCGACCCATCTCGATTTTCACGAGAAAATGTAAAGAATATTAAACCGAACACATATTGTCCCTTTGGATTTGGAGCTCGAATATGTAATTAAATATATTGATTAGTCCGTTTCTGCCGCAAGTCCGGAATGCGTGGCAGGTTGATAGACAAAATGAAGGAAAAAATCTTTTCTACTTAATGATTTTGCCTATGAAACTGTCATTGGTACTCTAAGAAAAAAGATTCTACCCATAATTTTGGTATAAGTTTTGTTTAACACCTGTTTTTAACTTTACCAATCTAACCCTAGTTAATCAATTAGTCACATTCCGGTCTTGCGTTTCTACATCTTGTGTGGAATTATATTGAAATAACTTATTATTAATGCTTATACTTTTTATTTCTCTTTAAAAAAAAAGGTCCAGGAGAAAGATTCGCGATGATTGATATTAAAATAATGGTCTGCCTGCTTGTGCAAAAGTTTGATTTCGAATTGGCCATGAAACTGGAAGATGTGCAAATGGAAGAAAGATTTGTTGTCATGGCTAAAAATGATATTTTAATCAAATTTAAACCAAGAAGAGGTATAAATGCCTAGAAGTGAGGTACAATTAAGGCTTTGTTGATGTAAACGGTTATTTCATTATATATTTTCAGATGATTGATGTATTAAATATTGAGTAAAAACTTATTTTTAGTCTTAGCTTCTGCAAAATAAAAAACTAGTACATAAAATCTACAATCATCGCTTTCTGCCATCACATCATATAACGATTAAGTAATGTTACACCCGAAACTACTTCTTATAAAGTTCGGTATAACGGTTTTACTTTAGCGATGGATATGTTAAATGGTTGATAGCAAATGCCGATTTATGCTTAAGTAAAATATAAGGTTTATTGGATTACGCTTTAATAGGATTATGGTGATTTGCAATTACGAAAGAGACAAACGGCTAAATGTATGTGAAGATACAAGTAGTTGTATAAGTTTATAATTTATTCAATAAAGTACTCAAATTATTAGTGTATGAAGACACTATAACAGGGTATGATTTATTTGACTATCCGTGTATGAAGACACATTTTACTCTTTATTATTGGGTTGTTGAGTTTTGTTAACTATCCTTCTACAAGAATGATATTTGAAGATATTTGAAACTATTATACATTTTATGATATTACGATTCCTCGCTATATCTACTAGTTATAATTAGTTATACTTCATTTAGTATTTTTACTATTTTTAATAAACTAGTATATCTGATCAGAACTAATATTTCTAATAAAGCTAGTATATCTGATCAGAACTAATATTTCTTCTAAGAACTAATATTATTACTTGAACTATTATTCCGATTACGTAGAGCCAGTGTTGTTACTAGCCTTAAGGCTAATAGTTTTTAATTATCCTTAGCCCTTGTCTAATTAGCCTTAGACTTAACCCTAACTCTTGTCTGATTAGCCTTAGACTTAACCCTAGCCCTTGTCTAATTAGCCTTAGCCTCAAGTCTAATTAACCTTAGCCTTTAAACTATATGTTTAAGTTTAGCCTTATGTTTAATTACCATGTCCAATTAGCCGGTCTAATAACAACACTGATTAATGCTAGTAGCATTAATAGCATTCTTGGCATTAGCTGCTATGTATCACATGATATCAATTTACAGTAACCACTCTTAATTATCCCGTGATGTAATTCGAAATTTTACCAGTCATAAGCAGAAGTTTGTTTGCTTGGCTAATAAATTCAATTTAATTTTACATTATTTATACAGTTTAGAGTACTTTTTTAAAAAAACGAAAACTAATAATAATGAAATAAAAAAAACTGTATAGAAGGCTTCTTTAGAGCTGTAAAACTTCATAATCAAAAATAAGATCTAATTCTCGTCCGTTTAAAAAGTTAGTAAAGTAATAACTTCTCAAAATCCAATAAAATCAACGTATTACTAAACCAATTTTTTTAAATAAATGAGAATTAAATCTTATTTTTGACTATGGAGTCTTACAGCTCTAATGAAATCTTATATATATGTATATATTTTTACTTTATTATGGTTTTTTTAAAAAATACTCTAAACTATATAAATAAAATTAAATTGAATTTATTAGCCAATCAGATGAACTTCTGCCTATGAGAATAGCAATGTTGTTATTAGATATGATTAATTAGACCGGACTGGCTAATTAGCGTTAGTCATAAGTTTAAAATAATCCTGAACATTTAATATAAAAGCTAAGACTAATTAGACAAGGGCTAATATTAGATTTAAGATTAGTAACAATACTGGTGAATAATGTTGTGACCTGAAAAAGCCTTTAGAACTTGAACCAATACACTGCCACATCGTAAACATTAAGTTGGATTTTATTTACAAATGTAATGAGTGAAAAAGGGTACAATAAAAGAAATCGAAGGGTACAAAAGAAAAACTATTGAAGGTACTACTAAAAGTTCAAAAAAAAAGACCCTTTATATAGTTTTTCTATTAAACTCAAATAAGCTAGAAATCATTACGCAAAATGTAGTCATAACTTTTAACTACGTACACAAAATATGTAATAATGTAATTAAGAAAATCATTTCGTAATTACGTAATAATTTATTATTATTAATGGAAGGTATTACGAAAGGAAAAAATGCATTTTAATTTATTTCGTAACAACGTACACACGTACATACGTATACGAAGATTAGACTTTTAATTAATTTTACATTCACGCAACGCAACTACGTTACATAAACCGAACCCCGGCACTACGAATTACTGGGGTACTATAGAACGTGTCGAACATACACAGTGTATTAACAAATTAGCAAAGCAAAAGGAAAAATTTTTGCAATAGATAGTCGTATGATAGGTTGTGCAGCCATGTTGTACAATATAAATAATTCGAAACACAAAAAGAAAAGTTGTATTACGAGTAACAAAAATCGCTATAAAATTTATATGAACTTGTAGATTTTTAACACCATTTTCAAGATCTAAAAATGGGTTTCAAAGATCTTTTAATCAGCTTGACTTTACATAAGACCACTTTTATAATAAATATGCTTAGTAGGATAAAAAACGATCGACAGGATCACTGACCAATCATGAACCATAAATTGTCCCGAGTTTTATGATCTCAACCAATAAATCAATAAATGGATTTTAAATTAGAAAGGGTGTTTGTTTTTTAAACTGTGAAAAAGTTTTGCTTATAGTAAAAAAACTATATCAAATAACTTCGTACATAATTTACAGAATTTTATTATATATTGTTTGGACATAGTTATTTTTTTTGGACACAATATTTGCTGTCCATGGACAGTGCATGTTCACGTCCATGTCTATGTCCATTGACAACACTGACTACAATCCAATTACCTCATAATTACTCATACTTACAAAGCACTAATCACATGGATCATACTCTCATCAATGACCGCATTACCAATTACTTAACTAATTCCATCGATCAAAATATCACATACTTACATCATACTTTCATTCACTATATCGACCATCGATTGAACAAGTGACTGTAATCAGGCTTATCACATGTTCAATCAGGTATCACATGATTTGAGACAAAAGTTATGATAACAATAATTCCAGCCAATTAGGATTTGATCAGCTAATAAAAGTATGTATATTCTTTTCTTGTTGACAGTATTATACTTAAAAATTGATTTTAAATTTCAAATGAGGTTTCTGAATTGTATTTTATTAATATTCCACCATCAGAATGATCGTATCTAGATTTTTTAGAGTTGTTGAAATTAGTATGGAGTTTTAGTGTTCGAGACACAACAATTGCTGAGAACTCATAAATGCGAAAGAAATACTGTGATATTCTAAAAAGAATAGTTTGAGGAAAAAGAAAATGAGAAGGATAAAGTCAAGACTTTATTATTACAGTTGGTAAATAACCTTTACATCTTTTCTGAATCAGGAGTTGCACAACCTTGGAGGGGTGTCGTTCCTACTTTGAGGCATGGGGTGTCGTTCCTACAGTGCAACATCCTGCTGTGGCACAGCTCTGGGGGGTGTCGTCCTACCTGGAGTGATGGGTATTGTTCCTAGTGTCATTTGTGGTTATTTACAAAAAACAAAATTAACTATTTTTTTTTTTGAAGGATGAATCGTATGAAATAAAACAATTTTGGAAGCAGGTTGAGCTTGAAAAAAAATTGGCAAATGAACGTATGTATTTTATTGTTTTAACTCTGCCTTCACTTTCAATTATATTCTATGTTAACTTGTTATCTCTAAATTACTTTCAAGAAAAAAACGGAATTAGATGCAATAAAGATGCTTGACATCACATGAATTAAAAGAAGCAGCTGATTTTGTCAATTAGCTTAAAATCAATAAGAAACAAAAAAAATCTGATCTAATAATTGGAAAAAGTAACATCATAAGAAAGAATTATCATTAACCTCACAAAAGGTCAAATCATATTCTAATTACTAGCCTGCAAAAATATTATCTTTTATATTTTTTTTATGTGTACAAGTTAAAGTTAGTGAAGAAGATTTGACTAACTCAGTGACTGAAATCTTTGAACAACTCAAGTTCCCAATGTATTACAACAAGTTCAAATTTATATGGTTTATTGCAAAACCTAGAACTAAATATGCAACGGGATTCTTACCAGATTGGTTAGGAACTGGATATTTGATAATTTTTTTAGCAGAAACGAATAAGAAAAAGTTGTAGTAGTGGTACAAATTGTAATTTATTTAGTACTGTATATTAGGCCATACAAATTGTAATTTATTTAGTACTGTATATTAGGCCATACAAACTTAATTGGTTCTTATAACATAAAATTTTTAAAAGTGATTTGACAATCCGGTTTTAAATTTTATTTTCAAGAAGTTTTCTGTGTAATAGTAACAGATTTTTAGAGGTTACACATTCAACCGTTTGAACCGTTTTTATACGGGTGACCCGATTTACTATAACCCGGTTTTAAACTCTAAATTCTGAACAGCACCTAATGGATTATCCTTCCAAAACACAAAATGCCCTTGTAGCTGAGCAGTACTAATTTCTTTTCCCCTCAATTTCTCCACGAATTTTTCTGCCAATTCAGTTTCATTCTCATAAAATCTTAAAAACATTGTACGTATCTGATAGTCACTTGCCACACCCAAGTGTTCTTTAAAATCAACTCTACCCGGACGTATCAACACGGGTTGAAGTCGATCCACAAAATTTGTTGTCATGAATATTATGCGTTCTTCGGATGCCGCAACGCCGTCTAGCGCGTTTAGCAAACCGCTGAATGTTACCGACGAACCATAACTAATTAAGACAAAAATTTCAATCTTAATATTGTATATTAAGTTTTGGGAGTGTGCCATTGATTACTTAATAATTTTTGATTGCTATACATGGATAGCATGATCTAGATGACTATTTGTCAATCTGACTTAATGTATCACCAGTGTTGTTATTAATCCAAAATAATTTTGGATATATGACATTAACGTTAAGGCTGGTTAGACTTAAGGCTAGTTAGACTTAAGGCTGGTTAGACTTAAGGCTAGTTAGACTTAAGGCTAGTTAGACTTAAGGCTAGTTAGACTTAAGGCTAGTTAGACTTAAGGCTAGTTAAACTTAAGGCTAGTTAAACTTAAGGTTGGTTAGACTTAAGGCTAAGGCCAATTAGGCAAAGGCTAGGATTAATAGAAAAATATTGTACTTAAGGCTAGTAACAACACTAGTTATCACAAGCTAATCCATGTATTCGTGATAAAAATTACGCAACGAATGGCGTTCCCTTTACCAATGATTATGGTAAGAACTTTACCCTTGTGCTTCACGCTTTTGCGTAAAAGCAGCATCAATATCTTCCAATAGCATTATACTACGTTCCGGTACATTACTTAGAAGATGGTTTAGTCGATCATCAGTTAAACCAACCTCACTTAAATTTAGAATACATATGTTATATTCTAATTCACCGGCGAGTGCCTGTATAAAACTACTTTTACCACTCCCTGGAGGACCATATAACAAATATCCCCTGCGATAAGGTATTCCTTATTCAAGTTTTTAAAAATATTAATAAGAGTTCTTTTTTTGAAAATGAAAATACAAATTACTATAATTACCTCTCTCATTATACCAATTACCATTATTGATAAAATCTTTAACATCTTTGACAATACGTTCTTTAACACCTTGATCTAATATAACGGAATCCAATGATCTCCGTTTTCGTGGTAAACCAAAAGGTCTCCATTCAGGACCCCAGCTTGTGTAAATCACCGTTTTGCCTTCTTGTTGAGCAAGAGCAAGTTCCTGGGCTTCACGTAATAGATCTGTGAAAATATGACGATCGCGACTTATAGTTGTGAGAGTCACCGTTTCCCAGGGACTTCCTGTTGTTATATCCAGCATTTTATTATCTCGAACACGTTCGACCTGTTCATTTATTTATTGATTTATTTACATGAATTCCAAACGAACGGATTTGAAATGCATGCAAAGCTGAAATTTGATTTTATCAAATCTAGTTTACGTGAATTGTAGCGTATTTGATCATGTGAGTTGATGCAGCTTTGGATACATTTCAAATTCGTTCAAAGGAAGGCACTTCATTAATATTCCACAAAAAATTCCAAAAAAAGAGACCGAAACAATAGATGAAGAATAAATTTATCAGGTTTAAATTATATTCAATAAGAAAATAAGTAATAACTTACCTGTAACCATACACCTTTCCATTTAAAAAAATGTCTTCCTGGACCTGGCACAAGCTTAAAATCGGCGCTTACACTACCATTATCATGTTGCACAAAAGAGGTCTCTACGGCAAGTTGATGCGCATTTCTTATCGACTGTTTGGACATCCAATGTAAAAACCAAGCATATGACTTGTCTTTCGAGGGAATTTCCAACGAGACCAGCAATTGACGACGAGCTAGGGTCATTCCACGAGTTAGTCCCTGACGAAAAATAGCTAGGCCTGCACCCACTCCTAGTACACCAACGCCAGCAGAAAAGTAAGGGTTTGAAGAAAACAACGTGCCTAAAAGAGGGTTGTCGGGCATGTTTTGATTGGGAATTAAAGCAAAAGTTGGTGATCATCGATTTCTTTTAAGAATTTTCCGACCAATGAAAATCTCTACAATTATCTGATAAAATTTTTTTGATGCTGATATACTGTTATAAAGTTATATTTTATTATTTTATTTCTTGGTTATAAAAGATCATAATTATTAAAAATTATATTATTTACATATTATGTTATTTTGAGGCGCCAAATTTCTAGAGTTAAGAGTTAAATCTTGACAAATAAAACAATATTTTTTAAAAATCTTGTCTAAATTATTTCTTAGCACTCTTGTATGTATCTCGAAATAACGCCCGGGGCGTTATCTCGCGCAAATACGATAATAAAGACAATAATCTTTATTAAAGGCTGAATGATTCCAATTTAATAACAATCATTGTTTAAATTTATAACTTTTCTTTCCTAATTTTGAATTTATAAACCTTTTTTTTTGTTCACTTTGGATAAGAGGAAAAAAAAAAAACAAGATCATAAATGGTCAATAACAGATAATGCGATTAACAATACCTTAACATACATCTCGCATTAACAGGTCTATACGTATATGTATTTACGTACGTATCGGTATGCTTAAGTTTATTTGTAAGGTTGCCCCAAAGTTTTTTTATGTTAAACAAGATTTTTTTTATAACCTTAATATGGAAAGGTGGATAAAAAAAATTTTTCTTAGGAATTACTGTTAGTTCTACGTATTTATTGATCGAATTATAATATTATGAGCTCTTGAAAATCTGTAAAACGATGGATGGTACACCTTTTCCATATACGGATCATTGGTTAGTTCTTCGAAGAGTTCCAAAATGTAGAGATATATTAGGAAAGTGTCACATTTAAATGTATATTAGCAATTTACCCATTGTCTTTTTTTCTGTCCCCCCTTTTTCCATTTCGTTTATAATATTGATATAAATCGCAAATTCCTATATAATCATTATTATTAGTGCGTGGAAACAAACGACCTTTATTTGTTTCTACCGTTGTTTGTTTCAATATTTATTATTCTCCTGGTTTCCTAAATAGCCTTGTACAAAGCACCCCGGAAAAAGACGAAGCCATGCTTACCGTTACTCATATAACTTATGCTGTTTTAACTACTTTGTTCACTTATAATTTAATTATTCGTCTTACGGTAGCCACTTTTTCCGAAAAAATCCATTATTTTATTACATTTTCTCAGTAACTACTTTGTTAAAAGAAAAATTCATTAATTTATCAAATTAAATATCTCATCCTTGATTTTCTATGTCTGATTCAGACTCTATACATTCTACTGATGCCCCTCCACCCGTCCCGCCAAAGGATGATTTTCGTCCTATGCTCCCACCAAAGGATTTTCCAAGAGCTTTTTCATACATGGGTCCTTCTAACTCTAGTAATTTAAATAATGAAACTAATACAAAGCGCGCGAAAAGAACATCTTTATTTCCTTCTTTTGGTTCATTATTTACACCTAATACTACTAAAGCAACTACAAATGATGATGTTCCTAGAATATCTTCTCACTCTGGAAGTATGTTTTCGAAAATTTCATCTTGGTGGTCAAATCTAAGTAAACTGAAACCAAAAAATACTGCAAATGTTACGCCAATAGCAATACCTTCAACATCATCTTCGGCTACATCATTAATTACTCCTCAAATAACAGATGATGCAAATAATTTTCAATCTTCTCCAAAAGTTAAGAGATCTAAGAGCATAACCAGTTTGTTTCGGAAAATTAGTTATAAAAAAAAGGAAAGAAATAATAATAATAATCATCATAATAGTAATAGTAATAATGGGTCAAATGCAACTGTGGCTGGTGAACATTCAACGTCTGAATTTTCAGCGACATCATCCAGAAATCAATCGAATAAAAGGGCTAGTTTTATATCATTTATAGAAAAATTAAATCGTAAATTTTCTTTTAGTTCCAAAAAATCCAATTCATCTAAATCATCTAATAATCAAAAGGTATCATCTCGAATTAATCCATCAAAAACTGATTGGTCCTCTTCTGCTTCTACTTATCATAATGGAGATGTTAAAAGATCTAATGCTAAACAAAAACAAAAAATGACAACTAATAATCATGATCTTACAGCTTCAACTCAAACTTTATGTCCTGATGGATCTTCAATTTCAACAACTCATTCAACTGCAGCTGAAACTATGGAATCATATAATAATGAATATGAAAATATTGAAGATATATCGATAGATATTTTGGAGCCCTTAAGGTATTCGATGGCAAAATCTAATTCATCGGATGATACGATAAGAGGAGCCTCAAAAACAAATCGTCATAGTAGATTATTAGATATTTTCACCCCTAAAAGCACTTCCCAACGTGGTTCAACTTCTTCTCGTGGAAGTATTGTTCACACAACAAATGGTGTCCCCAACCGTCATATCAGAATTAATTCAAACGTTATAAAAGATCCAACCAGCCTAGATGACATGCAACGAGAGAATTATGAAAACCGACTTTCTTCACAAATATGCACGAACCTTGATATGCCGTATTATACAATTGATAATGAAGGGGAGGATGGCACATCTAGTAGTGATTTAGCAACAGAAGGACAATCTAAATCTGACATGTCACCATTGCGTCTGTTTAAAAAGAAATTTTATCAAAATTTCCTATCATCCAATAATCAAGAGATAAAAAATAGGACAGAATCCACACAAACAATCTTCAATCATGGAAATGGACAGATTCCTGTTAGTTTTGACGATGTGGAGAATTTAGTACCACTTGAAGAAGAAGAATCTGATGAAGAATCTGATGATAATAATGACGTTAATGATGAACTTGATGACTTAACTCTTGATGATGGTATTGAGAGTGATGTTTCTACAACTCAATCACACGCACCTAGTTCTAGTTTATGTGCTTCACCTGATAATGATACTACCCCTAGTAATCAACCATTTTCTCGTATGTCATGGATTGCAAAATCTTTTGATTCTGAAGATCCATCTGCTTTTCACATCCGTCCTGATTCTATTATTGCTAATCTTAAAGTGGCCGTTCCCTTAAGAAGTGCGAAGGATGCATTTTCTAATCCTCAATCTATAGATAGTAAAGGACCCGCTATATTAAGTAATTGTCGAATAGCATTTATTCCAGTTAATTTCTTTGATGGACTTTATAACGTTAAAGAACTTTTTCTTGATCGAAATTCTTTGAGAGATTTATCCGAAGAAATTTTAAAACTTACTAAATTAGAAATTTTAGATCTAAGCAATAATTGTATATCACAATTTAATCCAAAATTAAAATTTAAAAAGATGAAGAATTTACGTCGCCTAAATTTGGACAATAATGTACTATATGACATAACAAGCTTATGTAAAATTAAGACACTTAGAGAATTAAGAGCAAATAATAATTTCTTAGGAACATTAACAACAGACATTGCAAAATTAGTCAAGTTACGATTATTATATTTAGATAATAATCAACTTGCAACTCTACCTGATTCAATTGGTCGATTAAGGTCTTTATGCGTTTTACGTTTAAATAACAATAATCTTGAAGAACTACCATTATCAGTATGTTCATTACGTCAATTAAAAGTTCTAGAATTGAAGTCAAACCTTTTAACACAATTACCAGAAAATATTAAGGAATTAGAAAGTTTAGCTAAACTTGATGTTTCAAATAATCGACTTACTTCACTCCCCAATGATATTGTAAAATGTAGCAGATTAACTCATTTAAACGCATCTAATAATAAGCTTGAATCTTTACCACCTAAATTTGGACAACTATACCGATTGATTACTCTTAATCTTCGTCAGAATCAAATCAATAATCTTTCAGGTGACTTTGGCAAACTCACAAATTTGACAGATTTAGATTTATCTTATAATGAATTGGTCGTGTTACCGGAAGGTTTAGGAAACCTTAAAAAGCTTACCGAAATTAAACTCAACAATAATACATCATTATTGGCAATTCCAGACATATTTCAGAAATTATCACAAATCAGAAAGATTTATTTGCAACATTGTAACTTAAGTTCAATTCCATTTATAATGGGTGATGCGTATAATCAACTTAAATATGTTGACATATCTTATAATTTATTTGATACTATTCCTGATTTACATGGAATGAATAATGTCACAGTATTTAACATTGCAAATAATCGAATAGTTGATTTGACAGAAAAAATTGATCAATTGGAATCATTATGTGAACTGTACGTGATGAACAACAAACTTACACATATACCAAAATCAATTGGACATTTAAAGAATTTACAAGTATTGGATGTTTCCGAAAATATGATTGTTGAATTACCATTATCGATTGGTGATTGTCAAAATTTACGAGAACTTAAATTACAAGGTAATTCATTGGAAAGCTTACCGGCGACTTTAAGATATTTGACTAGTTTGGATATATTTCATATTGGACAATGGCCAGCGACCGAATTCAAAATAGTACATAATGAGATTTTAACAGAAGATTTGAAATTAAGTCCATATCAATTTAATATTCCACAAGATGCAGAACGTACATTATTATGGAGAATGCATGATTCAATATTGAAAAGATTAAGAGAAATTGACTGCAATGATGGAACTTCTGATAAATCTTTAAAAAGTTTTTCAAATGAAAGTAATGCTTCACAATATGGTGGAATTCGTCCATTGACACCAGAATTGTCACCTAGTTCATCGTCTAGAGACGATGTAATATTGAAAATGACGGTTTTGAAAGGAGTTTATGATCAAATTATGAAGGATATGCGTAACAATGAATATGGTAAAGAGCCAAGTAATGATGATACAACCGAATCTTCAAATAGTGTAAGGAAAAAATTTTCAAAATTAAAATTTCTAAAAATTGGTGATAATAAGTAGAAATTTTTACTGCTGGTCACCATTATGGTTTTTCTCTTCAAAATCGTCATTATATATTTATATACATATATATATTTGCATTACACACATACATTATTTTTGTATATAGGGAAAAATATTTATGATTTTAAATAGTTTTTAGTAATGACACTTTGTACATTATTTTCATTTCCAAGCATACTTAAAGTTTGTTATTCCAGTTCTTTATATTGTATTTGTAAAATATAGATTAATGATCATATATTTTTAAAGTTCGAATTTACTTGTAAAATATTGATCAGTTGTATCGTAATGACATTTTACATCAAACAACGGAAATAACCGGATATGATTTTGTTTTTTTAAAAAAAAAGTTATAATTATTTTTAGAGTGATATGTTTTTTATTCAATAAAAATCACTAGGGCTTTTTATCAAAACCCACGGATACTATTCGTTCATATGTCACTACTAATAAATCCGTTGTTTTCATTATTTTTCTTTGAACAATTCAATTTACACCATATCTGATAAATTAATAACAGACATAGGCCATCTCCTCCTAGTTGTACTTATTGGTCAAATAAGGTGATGTACGTTACTAGAAGCTAGGGTGGTAAATCAAAGCTATAAGAGTGAGCAATGGAATTTGATATATATATATATTAAGGCCATACAAACTTATATGCAAGTGACTCTCGATATAAGAAACTCTTGATATAAGAAAATCCAAATCGAAAAGTTTTATATTAAAAAGCATTCGACATAAGAAAATCTTGATATAAGAAAGATTACTTGTAATCGGTTTTCATATCCTGGGAGGGGGGAGAATCCAAGATTTCTATTGTATTTGTTTTAATATATCAATCAATAGAAATCCCCACACATATCGTGTGACAAAAACAAAGTTGAATCGTTGAGTTCTTGCGAAATAGTAACGATTTCAGTTTCTAATTTCATTATAATCTTTTTTTGTGTATTGATCTATCGACATATGAGTACGGCCTAGATTTTACTCCAAAAAAAAAGAACCCATTTATATATGGGTGCCGCCAAGTGAAAACCAAAAATAGATTTCTTTAGATGGGCTTTAAATGATACTAATATATGATCAAAAAACAATATAATTTATTATTCTAGTCAGATCGGTTAAAACCCAACATTCCGTTATGTAAAGAAGTCTATTTTTAGAATTCCTGGCGGCACCCATATAATCGTTACACTTAACCCTCACAGCATAACCGCCAAAATCATCAATGAAACACTAATTAAAATCAGATCGTTATAATACGATGAAACACGCGAAAGTTGATGAAGATCACTATTTAAAATAGTAACTAACCTATCACTAACCCTAACTAAGTAAGAACTGCATCAATAACGCACCCTTTCATGTTATAATTATTAGCTAAATAAAAGATTCAATTAAAAAATGGAGGCTTTTGAGGTACGTAGAAAGAGTCCAAAAAAAATATGATTTTGAGATAATCAAGTTTATTATAATCGAAACTTAGCTAATAATTTCGGGTGTTATGCAAATCTCTTAAATTTCTTTTAATCAATTGATTTTTGCGCCAAAATTTACCTGAATCTTATTGACTTCTAGGAGAGTTTTGTTCCTTTTTATTGCAAAAAGAATATTTTCTTAATATAAAAGTTTTTAAATTGATTTGTCTTCGGAAGGTGCGATTAATACATTTGGTTAGTTTTGGTAATACTCAATTGAATATATAAATTGTATATATTAACTGTAGTGGTAGTTTTAAAAACTTGTACCGTATTTTCGCATAATAACTCTCGTGGGCGTTATTTAGAAAATTACGCACCCTGAAAATGGCATGCGTAGCTTCAAAATAACGCCCAAGCGCGTCACAAAATAACGCGCACTCGTATAAAGAGCGGTTTTGTCACTCAGTGGCAGTTAATAATCAGATATAGCAAGCAGTGTATAAATCTGGGCGTTATTTTGAAGATCAGGTTTAGGAGAAATTTTATCTTTGTCTCAAAATAACGCTCGTGCGTGTACTCTAAATACCATGCAGATGAGCGATATTATATTACGCGAAAATAAGGTTTTCTCAAAAATTGCAACATAGATTTTTATTAATCAAAGCTAGTTTAAATTTAATGCTAGTAAAAATTTTTTTATTTCACTTATCCATGCTCTTATATGATGTCCTTTAAGTTTTTATATTGTATTGTTACGGGCTAAAAGTAATATTTACGAAAATAAAGATAAAATACATGAGGATTGTTGGCTGAATTTATAATTTTGGCCGAGTAAACAAACGCAAGTTAAAACATTCTCAATGAAAGATACATGTGGTAGTGTGTTGGGGAAGCATTAAGAAGGGATGGCCAAAGACTCTTTTAATCATATTTATAAGATATTTAAAAGCATAATATCGAGAACGGTTGGTTACGACCCTTATGTACGGATAAGAATCGATATAATAAATTTATTACAAGACCCATAGTCACGCCTCTGGCGAGTTGCCCTACATTTCCCTATATTAGTTTATATATGTTAAACCCACTCCGTGACAGTATCCAATTTACGACATTGTATAAAATTTGATTTATAAGTTTTTAAGCCGTTTCTTTTATTGTAAGAATATTATAGGCTTTTAACAAGATCAAGTGCCTAAATATACTGTAAATATATCAACCCACCAGTTTCAAATGTAATTTATTTTATATTATATAGATCATGACCCATTCCTAGGCCTAACTTTATAGTCAATTAATATTTTATTAAAGATCCTAACATTTTATAACCGGTATCTTATACGAGAAATCAACAGATTATTTACCTCTATTCAAATTATCCTCAAAGGATCTCTTATAGATAATGCATATTCCATATTTAATCATATGAGTTCGCCTATCGTTATATGTATATCACAAGTTTTTTAATGTTGAGTGCATCTATTTGCCCAATCAAATAGAGAAATTTTGATCATCCCGGATAAGCAAAACAAAGTGAAACCCGCAAAAAATATATGCAGCAATCTAAGCTATCGTGGAGCGCCAATTAAAAGTGTCGGGAAGGCAAATTTACTTATAAAAAAACCATTTATCCTAACCTAACCTTAATACGATGTAAAATGTCCAATTTTTGTGAAATGATAAATCACTTTCATGCCCAATAAAAATACCGAATCTGTATCAAAGCATATAATTTTTTACCGGGTATTTGGGTTGTGTGCAAATAAAAGATCAATAACGATAATTATCGTTATTATTATTAAATATATTTATTAAAATTGATGAATTTTAAATTGATCCAATTTATTGGAAAAAGAATTATCTAGAAATTTTCACAAGAGCTTTATTAAATGTTGGAGAATAAAAGTTATGCTTTAGAATTTCTATTGATGTATAATTTTTGAATATTTTCGTTTTATAAAACATTTAAATTTTCAATAATTAAAAGTGCCCTAAGTTAAAATCAAAAAAAGAATAATTAGAATGAAAAATTATATCTTAAATGTATAATTCAAAACTTTACTAGAACTTTTACAAAAAATAGAATATAACTTTTTAAAAGTAGTTCTTACTAAGTGTTTCACTCAGAAGAAATTAGAAAAAGAAGCACAATATTCAGGGCGAATCATCTAGAAATTTGTGCTATTCTTTATAACTAATTAAAGACAACTTTTTAGATTTTCCATTGGTCTCGCATCATGGATGTCATTTAAATGACGGGACTGATAACTAGTATAATTATCAGGTGAAAATGAAAAATTGTATAACACTAATTTATATTATATATGTAATTCCATATTAATCATAATAGAATGAATCTTTGTTAATGTTAAGTAGTATATTTTCATAAGTTTATATTAAATATGCATGTGAACAGGCATGAATTCCAAATTTTAATAATTTTAAAGTTACAAGAGTCACTCTTCAGCTAAACTTTGTTATAAATGTGATTATCCCACTTTGTAATTTATCATAAGGAAAAGCACTATTAAAAAAAAAAGATTAGAAAGAGTGCAAGCTCTTGATATAGCAAATCCATGATTCTTGATAATCATTTTCCCGACAAGACCTATTTCGAATCCGTTCACTTCACCGACAATTAATTTACCTACAGTTTAATTCACCGACGGTCATTTAACTGACAAAGTAATTCCAGTCATTGTCGTTAGGGTCAGGTCAGAAGATTAGTGCAATTTTTGAAAAAAAACTTATCAGTGAAATGAGCTGTTGGTAAAATAATTGCCGGTAAAATAATTGTCAGTAAAATAAATTATCGGTGAATCGATTTTCGGTCCTCTTAGTAAAATGGATTGTCGGTATTACGACTTCAGTGAATGGCATTTCAGAAAATTGGACTTCGGGAAGTTAACCAATAAATACTGACACAGCCAAACACGCGACTAATTTACCAGACCTTAACTCATAAGCAAAAGTTCATCCGATTGGCTAATAATTCAATTTTAATTTTACATTATTTATACAATTTGGAATACTTTTTTTAAAAAAACGAAACCAACCATAATAAAGAAAAACTATATAGAAGGTTTCATTAGAGTTGTAGGACTCCATAGTCAAAATAAGATCTAATTATCATCCGTTTAAAAAAAAAACCAGCTTAGTAATAAGTTGAGTTTATCGGGTTTTGAGAAGTTATTACCATACTAACTTTTTTAAACGGACGAGAATCAGATCTTATTTTTGGTTATGGAGTCCTACAGCTCTAATGAAACCTTCTATACAGCTTTTTTTTTTTATTCATTATGATTAGGTTTCGTTTTTTTAAAAAGTACTCTAAACTGTATAAATAATGTAAAATTAAATTGAATTTATTGGCCAATCAGACAAACTTCTACTTATGGGCCTGCAAATTACTTATTTTTGTGGCCCGACCCGGCCCGCACTTAGTTTTAAAAATTTTTTTCTGGCCCGGCCCACAAAAATTTGCTGGTCGGGCTGCGGGATCCAATGCAGGCCTCTAAGCATATAGGCTGACTTTCTCGTGATTGGTCAATTTTATTCAATTGAATTTATACA